ACTTGTGTGCTCTTCTGAGCTGCTTCTCTTCCCCTGCAGGCAGCTGCTGCTTGTCCCCAAATCCAGGAAATGTTTTCTTCTGAGGCTGATAAGTGGAAGAGAAGTGCGTTGGTGTTACCCAGAATGGGTTTTGTGTGGTGGAGATGTTTGGCTGAGCAAGGTTCCTTGGTGTGTTCCTCCTGTCTTCAGCTGCTTCCACGTCTCCCTGCATGCATTCCTGGCGTCTCAGAAATGGCTTGCAGGCTTCTGTTTCTAAAAGCATGTGAATGAGAAGGGCTGTGGTGCAGGAGTGACCTTTTACCCCACCTCCCAAAAGCCTGAGGAGGCGAGTTCGGTAGCACGCTCCATGGCACTGAATTGTCTGTTTCCTTGAGCTTGGGATTTCTTTGTGCTACAGGCTGGCAGCAGCCTGCAGTTCTGGGGGTCAGCCTCCACCTGCTGCTATGTCCAGCTCTTAGAGCTCTTCTGTGATGGTTGACAAGTAATGTTTTTCTTCTGAAAAGGAACTGTGTTCTTTTTTTCCCAGTGGGTTTTACCAGTTGTCGTTTCTCACTAGTACTGCATGCTTGTCAGGCTTTATTTCTCAGAAGAGATAATGAATTTAAATCTGTTTTCCTGTTCTGTGTACCAGGGCACATGTCTGATGGATCTAATTAGGCTAATACAAAACTCTCCAGATTACCAAATATTGTTTCATTAAGGAAATGGTATTTGAAGTCTTATTTTTATTGGCTGAATTGTATTTGAAGACACAGTGGGTATGTGTTGAAGGAGAACACAAGGAGAATTCAGTATGACTAAAACCTTTTCTTGCTGTTCAAAAGCATCTGCCTAGCCTCTGAAAAGGAAAGTACTGCCAGTCACCAAGGGCAGGATTTGTGTGCTAGTAATGTGACATACTGTCCATAGCTGTCCATAAGCTGTGCTTTCTGGAGGGAAAAGAAAAGGTATGCTTTATCAAATCACAAAATACATAATGTGAGGAAATTTTTTTATGTCTAATGGTGTTGTCTTACAGACTCTAGTTTTGAAATAGACATTTCTTACTTTTCTTACTTAGACACTTAAATGAATAGTCACAGTAAAGTTAATTTACATTTGGCACTGGTATAGAATAGCTGTGATTCTATACATTCTTAAGAGAACTTTTCTGGCTTTTGTTAGTTGAAGATTTTTATGTTGAAATAGTAAATTACATGTGATTACCAACAAAAACTGAAATTACCTGAGAGTATAAAGTCTCTATAACATAATGATGTGTCACTAACAGTGCAGTGACTGAAGATGTGGCAATTATTCTGCGCTTTAAGGTCTGTCTAGGCTAAGAAATTGGCGTTAATAAGATGTTTCATGCTTAGAACCAATGCTGACAGTGATTCAGATCTAGCAGCAGATGGATAAAACAGGTTTCAATACCTTTAAGTTCTGAGAATTTTCCAGTTAGGATGCTAAACTGTGCATGTGTTGTTTATTCCACCAGTGAAACAATCCTCACCATGGCAGTTGGAGTTGAACAACAGCTGATCATTGTCCTGGGACTGATAAATGCTCATCTGAAGCTCCTGGGGTTTAATAGCATGAGAGGGAGACTTATAATTAGATATATTTCATCTGTCTCTAGTTAGAAACACAGAAGAACTACTCGTGTTCTAACTTAAATCAATCCTTAGAAATACCAGTCAGATGTATCCACTATAATTGGATATTCTATGTAATAAATGAACATTGTTAAAAGTAATAGAAAGAACTCTTTGTAATGCTATGCAGAATGTGATTTGAAATACAATTTTTTGCCAAGTTAAAATAAAACAGTTCCCAAGCTTAAAAAAATTCTGAACTGAGGCCCGTCATATAAGCAGTGGAGTAGAACTACATTTGTTTAAAGACTAGATTGTGTAAATGTTCATGCAACAAGAGACCAAAAAGGTCAGCAAAGACTATTTAAAGTCTTTCATCTTTTGTCCACAGTGAAATGTTTCCAAGTTAAGATGAAAAAGAATACTAAAATAAGTTACTGTTCTTATGTGACTTGAAAACCATTATAGCCAGGGGGATTTGTTTAGGAATTTCAAAGAAAATATGTCTCCATTAATTAAAGTCTTCATGCAGCTGTACCAAAATATAACTCATTGATTGTTTGTACCCACTTCCAGTTAGTTTTTTTTAAGGAATTTTTAAGTAGTAGTCATATTTCCAAGAAGGGAGAGATTCTACTCTGAATGATGGATTACAAGGCTGTGTTATTTAAGGTATGCATTATCTGATAAATACTCCACCAAAATACAGTATGATGGTTACCTTTTGGGTTCTTGGCTGTGTGCAATAAGTTTCTTTTTGTGTAGAGTATAAAACTATCCCTACTGTGTGTACATGTGCACATGTGTATATGAGGGAGATATAAATGATGGCTAATTATGATACATGGTTTCCTTCCTCTGGTTTTATGTGGTGCTCTTTTGGTAGCAAACGATTATCAGGGTGCTTATAATACATAAAGGTGCAGAGTTTTTAAATGTAGCTCACACCACACCTTAATTAATTGTCAATCTCTTGATGATCTTTACCAGATAGCCAGGTTGAACTGTCCTGTATATGCTAGTAATACTGTTTTGTGTTCCTTATGCTTAAAATTTCAAGTTTGGTCATAAGCTTCCTTGTCTGGATACACTTCAAAGTCACATTTATATCACGTGTCAAGCAAAATAAGGAACTTTGTGTCTGCAGTTTTTTATCAGCCGAGAAGGGCACTGCCAGAAATCTTGCTGCATCTTGCAAAAAGGGTTGTTGTGAAGAGAGTGAGGTTAAAAAAAAAATCCAGAGGATTGCAATGTGAAATGCTTGAAGGTTATGAAATCAAGCCTAGAAAAGGGATGCCTGGTGTCGCCATGAGCCTGCATTAGGTTCACATTTAACACAAATGAGCTGTTTTGCCATGACACCTTTGCTTCACTCAGTGCAGAGGACAGTTTGTGTTCTTGGTTTCTGCACAGGAATAAAACAGAAGGCAATTTTCTGCACAGCTGAACTGGGAAGCAAGTCTGCATCTGAACTTGATCTTGACAGGGCTTGCTTAAGGTGCTGGGGTCTGTGCTTGTTGATTCACCTGCCCTCCTCCCCCCATTCACAAAGACCAACACAGGAGGAGCACAGGAGCAGTAGCTGGGGCACCCAGCACGCAAACTCAGGTGTAGTGATGTGAAAAATATTAAAGCAGAAAATACTCCACACTGCTGTTAGTAGACAGTGTAAGATGTGGCTGTAGGAAAGGACTGTAAGTCTGAATAGCTTTTCTTCTGGAAATGGAAAGTGCTGTTTTCACTTCCAGCATAAGGAGTTAGTACAGGATAATTACCTCTTAAGTTAAATATTTCTGATATAAAGCAAGCAGTACGTACCACTATGTCAAATACCCTATAGAAAAGCCAGAATGGTGCACTAGGCAGCTCAGCTTTTATAATAAAGTCACAGATGCTCCTATTAAGCTGGAGCCTTAATACAGCCGAGGGTTTACTCCTCGTGTTGATTGCCATTTCTTTTCTCAATCACATAACAGATGGCAGCTGATCTATTGTGAAAGCAAGGCAAGGCAGCTCATCCCTTGTAAAAAAACACTACAAACACCTCCATTTTTAGATCAGCACTGCCCAGTTTGCAGACAGGCAGTGTGGGGTGCACGGTGTGCATGTCCAGCCCAAAGTCACACGATGTCACATCCCTGGCTAAAGGAATGAGGCTGTGTTTTCCCCGTGCCTGGAATGCAGCTGTTGCAGTACCACATCAGGGAAGATTAAATCGAGGCAAATCCCAAGGACTGGCTGCACTTCACCTTGCTGGGCTCCGTGTCAGCATGTGCTTGGAGATGTTGTGTTCATTTTGGAGAAGTTGCATCCATTTTGTGTGAAAATGAAGCAAAAGCATCTGCTTAAAATGACGATGGGGATCTTCACCTTGCTGTGCTCCGTGTCAACATGTGCTTGGAGATGTTGTGTTCGTTTTGAGAAGTTGCATCCATTTTGTGTGAAAATGAAGCAAAAGCATCTGCTTAAAATGACGATGGGGAAGCTTAGCCACAGTTTCCTCTTTCTACCTCTCATCCTTCCTTTGTGGCCATTTATAGCAGCAGCTATTGCCACTGAGGCAATGCAAATACAAGGCTGTGGGTTTATCAGTTTTGAAAAAATAGATGGAGAAACTGGATATCTATATAAAAAGGGGTTTTTAGGAATAAGAATAATAATAATAATATCTGTTGCTGCACAGGGATGAGGAGTAAATTACCCCTTCCACCCTGTTGCAAAATAAAAATAAAGCCTGACAAAGTCCACCAATGCTCTAAAAGAAGCTGCAGGTGCATTGTTAAGGCTTTTTGGGCCTTATGGCTAGAATAATTTAGATGAAAAAATGCAGTTGCATTTTGCATTTTGACTCTCCCTTGGAAGGCTCGTGTTCTTGCTGCTGCAGGCCCTGCTTTGCTGGTGCAGCACTTACCAGTTTTGCTTCCTTGTTTGTGGTGTGGAAGTGGCAGATGAAACTGTGGATGTTGCAATGAGCTGGGCTGTCCCTTCACCTGCTCCAGCCCACAAGCACACCTGCTCTGTCCCAGCCTTCCTGCTTCGTGGCCCAGCAGAGCAGCAGTGCAGTGCCAGACCTGACAGTGTTCATAGCATTGTCCATTTGGGAATGCCTATGGCACAGTGGGGAAAGGGCCAGGAGACGGGGAGAAGCCTCCTTGCCATCCCATACCAGTGCTGAATTCCCAGAGGTGCTCTCAGCCCAGTGCTGGAGCCAACCCACCCCCCTCCAGCTGCTGGGGCAGGAGTCTGGGATAAGTAGTAGACACTTGCAAATTGAGTTTTAATGAAAGGTGTCAGGTAATTTGCATAACCTGGTTTGTTTGTGCAACCCCTTTAAGATCCAGTGTCTGTCAAACCCTAAAGATGTGTCCTTTAAGTCCTCACTTAAGCAAGCTTTTCCCTTTTACTCCCTTCATTTTCCTACAGTCAATTGCTTCGGCAGACATGGATTTGAATCAGCTGGAAGCTTTCCTCACTGCCCAAACCAAAAAACAAGGTGGCATCACATCAGATCAGGCTGCAGTCATTGCAAAATTTTGGAAGAACCACCGGACTCAAATCCACGAGAGCCTGATCAATCAGAGCCGCTGGGATAATGTCCTGAAAAACATGAACTGGAGAGTGGACCTGAAGTCACAGTTGAGGCACATTGATCAGATAAACACTCCTGTTGCAATAGTTGAAATGGAGCTGGGAAAAAATGGGCAGGTAAGCTTCCTTTTGCAAAATATATAAACCTGAGGTAGCTGCCCATGCACTGAGGATGTTACCCATTGCTGAATTCACTGCATCCAGTTCAAGCCAGTTGATTAATCGCCACTGGCCCTTTAATGGACTTGAAATTGGGTCCATCTTTGGATGTAAAAAAACATTCTGGGTCGTGAATGCAATTTTTGCTTTTTTTTTCATATCTTCATATAAATAAGTTATGATATATATATATATTGACGTATATATTGACAGCTCTCTTTACATCAAGCTTGAAAAATCAGAGGATGTAGAAATCAAACATGATGTTAAAATTCCATTGGTGAATGCAATTTTTGCTTTTTTTTCATATCTTCATATAAATAAAGTATGACATATATATATTGACGTATATATTGACAGCTCTCTTTACATCAAGCTTGAAAAATCAGAGGATGTAGAAATCAAACATGATGTTAAAATTCCATTTGTATACCATGCACTGCAAATTCAATTAGTCTTCTTTTCTTTTAATTCAACACTAAAACTAGTTAAAATATGCAAAGTAGGAGCTGAAAAAGAATAAAGTTCACAAATTACATTTTAGAACAAGTGAAGGGAAAGACTCCTTTTTATTTTACATAACACCCATTCTTATGTTACTTATTACCTGTCACATTATGCAATCTGGCCTTATCTACCTGAAAGGTATCTATATATATATAGCTCTGTTAGTGCTGAACATTACCTTCCTTTTTTATCTTTATAGTCCCTAGGAATGTACAGCTAAAGGCACAGCTTCCCATCTTCACATTTGCTGTTGTTTTCTAACAGGCAATGTGTTTCACTTTGGTATCTTTTCTCTCTGCAATGTTTTAGTAAATTTCAAACCCTCATTTCTTAGTGGTAGCTACTGCAAATCATGCCATGAGCTGATTTGGGAATTCTGATGTTAATGGTTAACATTTAGCAAAGTTCCTTGTATTTCATAGTATTGTAATAGCAAGAGTGCATGAATTAGGAATACCTCAATCCATACACCTGGAATAATCATGTGCATAGGAATGATTGAATTCCAACTGTGTAGCTAAGCCAAGACAAGGATGAAGGTACATGTCATCTGAGATCCTACAGAAACAAGGTATTGCTGGAGTCATTCTGTTAGTTCACTTTTCTTTGCAGTTAGTGGAAGCTCATCCTTCCTGAGCCTTCCACTCATGGTTCTCTGCAGTGGCCAATACAATAATGGTGTGTGTCTTCAGGTTTTTTCCTAACCTCAGAGAAGTGGAGTTTTCTGCTCAGGATCTTGAGATTGAAAATGATTGTGTTCTATTAGCAGCAAATGGGAAAAAAGGTTGTTTTGAATAAAAAGGTTACAAGGGAGCACATTATAATGAGTACATTGAGTACATTAGTGAGCAAATGGGAGAAATACCTACATTCATTAAAAAATGCATCCTTAACTCAGAATCACTGTTGTGTTTCACAGGGGGATTATGTAGTTAGTGACTCCTGTTTTGAAACTGTTTTTTCCCCCAGTAATGGATTTTACAGTAACATCAGCAGCAAGGACATTTATATTTCTTTCATCCTCTGCAGAGAGAGGGGATGGAGGAAGAATACACATTTCTGAGACATTATAGTGTCTCTTACCAAAGACCCCCACAACAAAATCAAAATTAATTATTTTAGCAATGCCCCTTCATGCTGCAAAGGGAAATGGTTGTATGGATGCATTTTTGGAACTGCCATCAAACACAATTTTGCCTCCTTCCCTGAGGAAGCTGTGAGCTGTGGCAAGCGTGACACTTGGTGTGAGTTAAACTGGTCCTTACTGAAACAACCATGGCGTAATTAGCATTGTCACCTCTTGAGTCAGTGTGCATTTATTGTAAAGAGCTTTGGTTTCACATTGCCTTTGGCTGTGGATTAAATAAATTCTCTGCTGTAAATCTTTGGGTTGAGGCACTCTGCATCAGGCTGATGCTGTGACGGGATGAGGTTTGGGAAACCACAGGAGTTTGTGGACCTCCTGGAAAGATCGGTCACAGAGACTCCTACTGGAGGTTGAACAAGTTGTTGTTGCACACTGGATTCAGCCCACTAACTTGAAACTGTCATGTTTTATAGTTATTTTTACTTTGTTGTTAGCACATCTCTTCTAAATATCAAGTTTTGTAGTGCACATCAAATACACATATACTGGTACTTCCTTAAGTTTAGCAGAGAACATATTTTCTAAACAGTTGTCAGCCATAGATGGGATTTGATGAATAATGAAGATCTGGCTTTGAAGAAGAAAGCTGGCTGATGATTCAGGAGTAAATTATTCACAACAGACTGTTTTCATTTGGACACATGATAACAGGGGAATATACAAATGCATTGATATGTAATGAATTGACATGAATATTTCATGGTTCAACAGAAGCAAAGAAATGCTCTGTAGAAAATGTACCTTTCCTGAAGTCACTCTGATTCTTCTCAGTGCCTCTGGGTTGGATTTAGGTCTCTGCCCAGCAGAAGGCCAGGCTGCTTGGTGGAGCATCTGCTCCTTCTGCTTCAATAAATAACTTTGCTTCCTGCTTGCCTTCTCTGAATTTTAGTCAGCTCTTTCATGAGGGGAAGACTTTGTGTGTGAAACCTGATGTGGTTGGGAATGGGGAATTAATTGGAAGCAACTGGTTCGTAAATGCCACTAGACTGAGTTTACATGAATTTTGCCAAATTTTGTAAGTGTTTTCTGGCTGGAGAGAGATGCTTTTGGGTTTGAGAATCCATCACAACTTGCATGCATTAATTCTTGCTAGCTTTGCCATTACTGGTGAGAGAAAAAAATGAACCCTCTTCCCTAAGTGCTCTTGAAAACACTTCTAATGAGGAACATTTGAAAATACCATGCTCTGAACTTTGAAAAATTTGACTCAAGGTCTGTAAATTGGAGTTTGAACTCTACTTCAGTAAAGATTTTACAGCAACATCAAAAGTTTCCTTTGTGCTGGTGTTGTAGTCTTTATAGATCCTAGCAGATCTGTATAAAGATTAAAGGCAGATGAACATGCTAGCCATCAGCTTTGAAGGCCCATTTTCTTTAACAATATAACTAAAAATAAAATTATAAAGCAGTTGCACTTTAGCCTGCATTTGCCTTCATCATGTGGTATTTAGTGCTCATCACTACTGTTCATTTTTTCCATTTGAACAGCCCATCTTTTCTTTGGCACAATGGTTTCATCCTCTTGGGTTTTTTATCTACCTTGCTGGCTTTCTCTTAAAACATCTGTAGCTACCTGTCCCCTTCTTTATGTGCTTTTTAATCTTGTTCTCCCTCTCTGAGCATGTCTGTAAAGCTCTTTTGGCATGAAATTTCAGGCAGACATGAATCTGCTCAGAGGGATGGGAGAGTGAGCTGGAGCATCCTTCTCATGCCCTTCCTGCCCCTCTGCACCAGCACTGCTCCTGTGGTGGGCAGCCACTGCTGCGCAGTGTTGGCTTACCTGCACATTTCAGTCCCAGATTTATACCTGGCCTTGCCACTGACAGAAAATTAATGCATTGCTTTTGCACCGTGGCTTGGCACTAAAATTATATTTAAACTTGTTTTTTTGGATTTTGTCATGTTATTTTCCTCGTGAGATCTGCCTCTCCTCTGGGACTGTGTTCTTCCTGTGGGCTGATTTGCCAATAAGTTTTACTTTCTTTATATAAATATATATAAATTTATAGCATTATATATTTTGCAGTTTAATATCTGAGACTGATCAGATATTACAGATTAGCTGAGAATTTGCTTCTGTCTTTTTTAGCTTATTTACAGAATGGGTATTTCCATATACATTTCTTTTCAGTGTTTAAGATACCAGTAATCCATGTAATATCACTTCTCCTGGGGCTTTGTTGGATCTTAAAGCATGTTTTATGATCAAAGAGTATTTTTTGCCCTGGTTTAACATGAAGCTGGGATTCTCCTGTAGGATTCTTGCCAGAAAGACCTGAGATAATCACATCAGGATTATGGATTAAAGGGTTTTTTTCCCAAAATACTGTATGTCTCTTCTCTTTCCTTTTCTAAAAGCCTCTACCTGACAGAGGGTCATAACAGTTAATGATATACATTAAGTAAATACCACAATGTAGCAAATACTAGAGGCTACATACAAGGTAAGAAATTAGGATTGTTTCTTTCAAAGTTAAGGGCGAACAGCAGCCTTTCAGTCCTTATACTTTCTCTGGTCTGAAATCACCAGGGATGTGTATCTTCACAAAAAACAAGTGGTTTTCTTTAAAGAACAGGCAAGCGTTGGTAACAGCCTTTTCAGTGAAAGTCTAATGTTCAGTACTTATGATTCTATTTTGATTGTGACTTTAAACTCTCTCCAGTGAGATAAAATACTTTCTGATGAAAGGACTTGCTAGGTGAAGTGCACCTTTACCAGTGCAACAGCATACTTGTTGTTGAAAAAGTAGAAACTCTCAGCTGGCCTTTACCTACTGTCTGCAGGTGGCTGGTCTAGACCCTGGTAATTTAGAGAAAATAATACTACTAATAATAATTCAGGTAATAATTCTATTAGTTTATGTGTGGAAAGAGTTTGTAAGGAGTATAGACAATTGTTGTGTCCTATATGTTGGAGATAAAATGCTACCAGTATTTTGAAGGTCTGGAACTTGATATTTCATCAAGTTTTAGTTGCAATGATTATAAAGGTTTAATTAATGTTTTGAGAAGGGGTAAAGTAGGTCTCAAAGTAAACTTCTGGGAAATAAATTGTTTTTCTGACTTGTTAATTAAGTCCATGCTACACAAATCTAGGCTGAAATTTCTGTCATCTGTGCTATAAACAAATTATATTTATTTTTAGCGTTCACACATGAGCATGCTTTCACAATGTAATAAAAAAATCTCAGCATTTATCTTCTATAAAAACTCATTCCCTTGCTGGGAGTGCACACTGAACGCTGCTGAGGATGTGGTGGTGTTTTGTGCATTTTTCTGAGCCATTTTTCTCTTGGCTTTTGTC